ACCTGGCGATTTCATTACGGGCGATCGGTATCGGCTACAATTGATTCGTTTGAGTCGTGCATTACGAGAAAAACGGCCGGAATACGAGCAAAGACATGATAAAGTTATTTTTCTTCATGACAACGCTCGGCCTCATGTCGCTAAAGTCGTAAAAAAATATTTGGAAACGCTCAAATGGGATGTTTTACCGAACCCGCCGTATTCTCCGGACATTACTCCTTCTGATTATTGGTTGTTCCGAAGGATGCAGCACGATTTGGCAAGTCACCGGTTCACTTCTTTCGCAGAAATCGAAAATTGGCTCCAAAATTGGATCGCTTCCAAAGACGAGTCATTTTTTCGAGATGGAATTCGAAAATTGCCTGAGAGATGGAAAAAAGTAGTAGCCAGCGATGGACAATACTTTAATTAATCTGTTCATTCATTTTGTTTTAAAATAAATGCATTTTTGAACACAAAAAACGGACCGAACTAATTTGTACTAATAAAGTTTAATTAGTATTAGCTATTAGAAAACATATTTTTTATATAAAAATATATATAGATAATAATAACAACATAAATTTTCATATCGTATTAAAAAAAAAATATTATATCCTATATATCCTATATATATAACAAAAAAATAATAATAAAAAAAGTCTTAATTAGTATCTATTAAAATTTTTTTTTTAATATATAATGACAGTATAAGTTTTTTATATAATATTAGCAAAAAATATATATATATACATATATAACAAAAATAATAATAAAGTTTTTATATAGTACAAACTATTGAAAAAAAATTATATATATAACAATAATAACAATATAAGGTTTTTATATAGTGTTACGTCCAAGCTCCGCATGTATGGACTGAGGAAGTGAATTATTAGACCACAACAGGAACCGAATTATTAGACCGATTTGATCGTGTCCAAGCTCTGGACCGCAAGAAAGCTGTGAGAAAAGACCGACGCAAATCGAGAGGCACTTCGCTTCGTCTTGAGGCTCCTAACGAGCCGGAGGTCGAATGGAGAACGAAGTGGAAATCTCAATTCGTGCTCTGCTAAATGGACACACCAGTCGGACTTTTAATTTAAAGGGCCCAAACTGGATCAGTGTGCCGGGAGAGCGCACTTTAATGCTAGATGTGCCAGTACGTCTGTATGCCTTGGCTTTCGGTCATGGAACTTAATTTATGTAACCGGGGAGAGGGCGAAGTACAATCGCGAGAGAGCTTATAATGAGTACTTGGAGAGGTTTTTCAAAATGTTTTTGAAGAGGTTTTTAACAAACAAGGGTTAAATTTAATAGTAACATAATAAAAGAAATATTTAGCAATACATTGTTACAATTTTGTACAATTTCTTTGGTTTGTTTTGTCTTGGTTAGACATATTTTTATATGCGTGTGTGAAAATATCGTGTGGTAGAAGAGAGAAGTTACGGAGAGGATAGCGAGGAAAAAAAGTTTTGGTAAGTGGACCTGCGAGAGTTGGGCCTGATTTTCCTCGGACGATGATAATATTAACTGGCGGATACGAGCGACCTGTCGACAAGGGCGAGCAATTACCGTGAGGCGACAGCGACAAGGATTGAAATTATAGCGTGAACAGACTGCAACGTTTTATTTTCTTTTGCATGGGAACTCAAAAGGGAGAAAGACAGAAAGAAAGAAAAGAATAAAAATAAAATAAAAATAAATGAATAATAAAATGAAATAATGAAATGAATTATCGAAAAAAAAAACGAGGGCGACCAGAGGATGGAGATATACCGACTTATTATTGAGATGCTCATCAGTGAGGATCCTCCGACCAGGGTGTGTGAGGTTGATGATGTTTCTTCAGCACTAACTCTAAATTTTCAAGTCTTGCTGGCAAAGTATGCGAGGTCGATAGAATTTCTCTTGCACTACTATAAAACTCTGAGTTTTAAAGTGTTGGCCGGTTAAGAAAATAAGAATTTCGGACCGCTACGTCCGTCCCTAGAGAGAAATTAAGAAAAAAGGCGCTGAGTCCCACGGAACCGGGGTTTTTATAGTAAATTTGCCCTGATTAACAGCGCTAATTGGTGAATAGATTCGTTAATTAAGTGGTGGGGATCTATTTCTTGCTTTCTAATTGATCAAGGGAAAGGACATTGACCGGAATCTGTAGCGTGTAGAAGTATTATCCTTAATTTTGTGATCTTAAAATTTATGAGAAAAGCACACGTACAGTACGTCGAGGAAGCGCATGTGCAGCGTCGGCACGAGACCATTCAGAATCTACCCCTGAACGTTGCGTGTTGTTTTTTAGATCACGGACTCGTGACAATCGTCCGCGACCGTTAAAAAATATTTTGGCGCCGGTCTTATGCTTCCAATAATATATTTATTATTATTTTAGCCGCAATATCCGAGGGGTACAGACTCGATGTCCTTTTGATCCCGCCGCTCGTGCACGTTAATTTTGAATTTATTTCAAAGCGTCATTTAGGAGCAGATATGCTGGATTCTTTGTTTTAATTTTTAATATGAAAAGAAAATTTTTAGTCTTCTCTAGGCTATAATGCTCAACTTGTTATGCTCAACTTGTTCGTTTTTCGCAGCTGTCTCTTTATTTCAACGAATTCCAAATCTCCACGAAAAAAAAGTCCGCTGCACGTAACAAGAGAGAGGGGAGGCAAGGGGAAGGGGGAGGGAGGAGGAAGGAGGGGAGGGAGAGAGAGAGAGAGAGAGAGAGAGAGACAGAGAGACAGAGAGAGTATCAACAAAAATATATATTTTTAAAAATAATAATAATAATGTAAAGTTTATAGAGCATTAGTTCGCTTTTTCCAAAAAAACAAACTATATATTAGAACAATATTCATATAATTTCAATAAACATATATACATTTAAGCGTTATTTGCCTCCTTTTCCAAAATTGAAATTGTAAGAAATTAAATTATTATATAATACATGAAATGCCTGCATTCCGCTATCTCTGTTGTATCTTTAGTCAACGAGAAGAAGAGTCACCTGTATCGACCAGAGCAGAGGATCAATAGGACGTCTATCGATATTTGATGAAATTCCGGTGCGTTATTACAATGGAAAGGTGAGTCTACCAACACACCTTTTTTAAAATTTGTTGCTACTGCTATGAAGAAACGGTGGCTGAATGGAAAAATCAATATATTACCCGTCTTTGCACACGTGATAATTCACGAGGATTCTGTACATAACCAGACAAACTGAGCGACCTGCGGTACAACTATTATACGAATACAGCCTGCAGAAGAATGTCCGAGCTATATTGAAGGATTCACAAATACCTTTAAATAAAGTACAATTAAACGCAGGAATAACAACGGTTCCACACATAACCTTTGGATGGCTCCTAATCTAATATAAGCATTTCATGTCTAGGCTTCACTCAAATAATCTCCTCGCCCTACGGGATTTTTTTTGTAATTTCATAAGAAATTACGCGCACACGCATACACACACACACAGAGTAGACTAAACTGAGTAGAAAAGTTCTCTACCATTTTGTAATGCTCGCAATGATTAACGAGTTATTAACGTTTAAAGATAGCTGAATCCGCTCGATTTACTATTGTCGAAGGTACGGCCCACCGAGCGCATGGCGCGCGGGCCGCGAGGAGCGGGAATGGCCTAACAGGCGCGCCGCGCCGTTTGAGCTTAGATGCTCGCGACGGTAAGTCCCGTTCCTCGCGGCTCGCACGCTCGGTGGGTCATATTTTCGACAATAATAGATCGGGAGGACGTGCATATTCGGCTATCTTTAAACGTTAATATCTCGTTAATTATTGCGAGCATTACAAAATGGTAGAGAACTTTTCTACTCAGTTTAGTCCACTCTACCTGCTCGGGACGAGTGGAGCCGTATATTCATGCCACCCTGTATATATACATATATACATACACATACCTATAATGACCTTTAAATCTTTAAATTTCTTAAATTAAACTTTAAGATACATTATAAAATAAAATTTAAGGCTCTTAGAGTCAAAAGAACTATATATACAGAGTGGCTCCAATTTATGGCTCCAGTAAGTAGAGCGGATTAAATTGATAAGGGAAGTTTTACAACTGTCTGGAACTGATTTAATTCTACAGGAAATATGTTGTAAAACACGAAAATCTAAGAGACACATTTTTTTTTAAGTACGCTAACTCATGTTTAAGGAGTGAAAAAAATGATATTTTTCTATCGAGACGAATATCGTTGGAAGTATAAAACATAGAAAAAAATTGTTTCAACAAAAGTTGTACGATTTCAAGAGTACTTTAAAGTTATAAAAAAAATTTTTTTATTTTTTTGTTTATCAAAATACCCCCACCACCAGTAATTTTCTTAAATTTTCAATTTTTTTTTATCAAATTAAAAATTATTTTTTTACAAATTCAACCATGTGTAATAAAGTTACATTACGACATATCATTTTCAAAAATTAATTATTTACGCTTATATACGCTACTCATATGCATAAGAAATTGTCGGAACAATAAAATAAATCAACGAATAAGGGAATTGACATGATTGATATTTGTAACATTACAAATATCACAAATATAAATTGTTCGAGATACGGCCAACATGTATTATTAGGTGTTGGAATTAATTCGTAGCGTTTTACAATGAAAGAATGTTATTTATTCCACATGAGCATTAAAAAATACATTAATGAAAGTACTTCCCATCACTTGTAAAACGCTACGAATTAATTCCAACACCTAATATATATAATTTTCATATTTGGCGTTCGTGCGACATACGGATCGAAAGCTTCTAGAAGGATCTCAAGCGTCCTTAAAAGTTTCCAAAATATAAACTCGGCTATCACCTCGTCGATAAAGTCAAAAAACAACAACCTAAACCGCATGTCGCACGTACGCAAATTTTAACCGCTATAACGGCTAACCAATTCGGATCGGTCGTAGCGCACGTGCGAGCGCGTGACGCAAAACGCGTAATATGCGTTCATCCCAATCAAGAATCCAGATTTAACGGGCGCGCATGGCAATAGCGTGCCGCTTGGCCGTTGCGCGCGAAATCGCCAATCGCCACCCGACACAGAGGATCATCTCAAAATTTTGAATGTGTAAAAATCTCATAGGCGAAGGGAAGCCTTTGTTCTCAAAAGAGCATAAAAGGCAAAACCGAGAAGCAATAGCTCTTAACGCTCTTAGTTCTCCGCAACTCTTAGTTCTCCGCAACTCTTAGTTCTCCGCAACTCTTAGTTCTCCGCACCTATTAGTTCTCCGACTTTCTTAGTTTTCCGCCGCTCTCAGTTTTTCCGCCGTTTTGAGTCAACGTATCACTTTAAAATTTCACGTCAGGGCTCTCGCTCTGACTCGCTCTCGAACATAAATAATATAATGTTAAGAGTTAATAATTTTTATTATAATAATAATATTTCTCCTTAAAGTGAGTAAAACTTTTTTATTCATCTCTGTACATTATTTCCTTATAATATCTTAAGATTATTTTCTTAAAGTTATTTTCAATTAGTTTCACGCTTTAATATTTTATTTACTTGTCATTTACGTAATAATTTCAAAACATGTATATTATACTTAATAATAAAATAATTTCTAAATGTTTATACATAATAAATTTATATTTTGTATCGTTTACTCATTATACTCATTACAATAATGATACTCGATAAAAAAATGTTTCAAACATAATGACATCTTGCACCATGAACATTTTACTACAGCTCTATTACTTCGGCAACCTTCGATATCATGTTGTTATATTTTTGTCAAAACTAAATTCTACTGGATTTTCAAATTCTGGTCCTCCGTTTGTATAATCACTTTTAAACCACGAATATTTAAATAAGTTGTGATATCGCGAGGATGACAATTGATTATATATCAGAGATTGTAATTTTATTATATTATTTTGTTCATGTAAATTTATGTTACTTTCCAATAATAAAAGAATGTCTGAAAACCTTTTTAGTAAAATTTTTCCAAATTCTAAATCCATAAACATCTAATAAATATTTTCCCTGTAGTGCCTTTTGGCATAAGTAGTAATATGTTTTCATAGTAGTAATATGTTTTCCTACAGGTGTTAAATCTGAAATTATATTGGGACAATGACCAGTCCATGAATCGATAAGAAGAACGCTTAGAATCAATGTTTAGGAAATAATCTTTTTCTAACTACATTTTAAAGTGATCTATAAGAAATATAAATGTTAAATTAATAACTATTTTATGACTGTTATAAAATTCTTAAATAAAATATAAAATATATCATAGAAATAAGACTTATATTTAATTTTATTATATTATTCCGTTTAAATGTGCAAATTTATATTTACTTTTTAATAGTAAAACAGTATCTGAAAATGTACTGTAAAAGGAAATTTATTTAATTACCTGAAGTCATTTTATCAGATTTTTATGATTTCACAATAACATTTATTAGTGTAAATAAAGTTTCTTGTACTCTTGGTCCAAATATAATTTGTTTCTTTCAATACAATAGATAAAGGTGACAGCAAATTTCCATTACACGATATTATTGGTTGTATGGTGTATGAGTGTGCTGTTGATGATATAGATTGCACAACACACTCTATTTTCTTTACTCCTTCATTACACAATGACCTTCCAGAATGAATTTCCAATTGGAAACCACTTTGATCAGAATTAAAAACAATTTCAGATCCGAACTGTTCGATAAGTGGTTTTACTGTTTTCAGAAAATCATTAGCTATATTTTGTAACTCAATGGAATCTTCTATTGTTCTTCTAGTTACAAATTTCGTAATTTTTCTCGAAACAATTCGGTGAGACTTTTTGAATATATCCAATACTGTGAGATGTTTTAAATACAGAATTTAAATTTCCTATTTTTTCTTGAGCTCTTGTAAAGTCCATCTTTGATCGATCATGAATTATGAATTCTGATTCAACAGTTGCAGCAAATTTATCATGTGTAAATTTGGAAATGTAAGATAATTTTTCTATACGATTTACCTGATGTAATTGTTCTTCCCATCATCTTAATTGATGTTCAGATGAAATTCTTCTAAATTTATTTTGCATTGATTTTAGCGGATGATTCGTTTTGTTTTTATTTTTTCCATTAATGTCCCAATTCCGCCAATACTCAACAGCTCGTCTTTTATAAGAACTGTCAAAGTCTGCGTCATCATTCGAACATTGAGGATGAGAATTTAAATTATCTTCATCCCATACTTCTTCATCATCTTCAATTATTTCAGAATTATGTAATTTATAAGGTTCTTGATAATCGAGACAGGTTTTTTCTGTTACTTCCAATCCATTATAGAAATAATAAAAAAAATTTATATGAATATATAAAAAATGCTACTCAGCAATAATTTTTGTACATTTTCTTTTAATTCTATTTCTGCTTCAGTTACTAGTGTTTCTGTTATATTGAACTTATAGATGCTAATAACAGTCTAACAACATTAAGCGGATTGATAATCATTTCAAAAAGGTTAAAAACTTGGCTTTGAATTAATATAAAAACAATTTAACAAATTGCACAGATATGATGACAAAATTACTGTACTGACTGAACGTAAAACTGCTACGTGAATATTCTTATACTGTCCATTTATTATATTTATTTTGAATGTATACATATAACTTATATCATAAATTACCGCCCAGTTATTATCTAAAACTGAGTCGAAAAGTCCTCTACTATTTTGTAATGCAATAGTTAACGAGATATTAACATTTAAAGATAGCCAAATACGCGCATCTGCCCGACCTATTATTGCCAAAGGTATGGTCCACCAAGCGCACGACGTGCAGGCCGCGAGGAGCGGGGATGGTCTAGCAGGAGCGCCGCGCCGTTCGAGTTTAGAGTCTCGCGGCGGTGAGCGGAGCGCTTGCCCCACTCCCCACTCCCCGCGCTATCGATGGCAGATATTCGGCGCTTTAGAAATAATATTTCGATTGCGAAAATTGGAAAATGATCAAGAATTATTCGAAAAAACTCAGTTTAGTTCGTTCTGAAATGTGCACATGTACATGCAAAAAAATGTTACATAAATAATAATATTATTTGTTTCCAGTAAATAATAAGAG